AAAACTCTAGAAAAACAATTATTTAAAAATTTGATTTATAACCTCGTATTGAAATACCCACAAGTAGGTAGACACTACAAGTAAATATTTATTACAAATCATTAATTACAAATTGGCAACCATTACGGCTTGATAAATTAAGTAATACTCTCTCTTTTTGAAAGAGTGTCATTTACTCATTTTAATTATATTCACGTAGATTGAAGATTCGTCAAAATATACAAATATGCCCCTATTTAGTATATTATTTAATGATAAATACAAAGTTTATTAGTTTTAAATAAGTGATAAAATTTGAATTGGGTGTGAAAAGTTACCTTGAAAATATAGAATGACATTTTTTTTTGAAACAAAAAAAAAACAATTTCAAAATGACACTCTTTAAAAAACAGAAGGAGTACAACCAAATTTGCAACAATTTTGTACCAAGAAGTAAGCTTTTTATTATGCAAAAAGGGTATATATCCCTTATATTAATTGGAGAGTGATTTATGAGAAAATGTTTATGTGTCATCTCTACAATCACTCTCACAAAAATAATTGTGACATGGCTTGACAAAACTGTGACATGGCAATTTTGAATCAATAACAAAAATTTTTACAACTAAATTTATATTTTTACCATAAATAAATCAAAAGGTTTTTAATCAATATATTATAAGATTTTCGTTTTTATTCTAAAATTATACACAAATTTGAGTTCTCATTTAAAAACAGTTTAGAAATTGATTATTGTAATAATAAAATGAAAGAACATTTTTATAGAATATATATTCTTTTTGAAAATAATAATAAAGACTTACCAAATTTTTAAAAGAGATTTTGGCATGTTTGTGAAAAAAACTTCTCAAGTTTATAAAAATAAAAATAATTATTTTTTTGAAATATATTTTTAACGCAAGACAATGTGAAAGTAATAAAAAAAAAAATTAATTCGAAAGCAACAATTTTTTTAAATCTATGTTTCATTTATAAAATTTATGATTATATATTTTAATGGTTTAAAATATTAAATAATTTA